CAATAAGGTGGGCCAGTGCAACATCCACAAGCAAATATACACATTTAACCAAAAAAATAACTAATTCAATAAATAACGGGCCCTAAGGGAAGACATGCCAATGGGTTTAATATATATAATATATACCATCACTCATACATATATAAATATGTCTTAAGGTAGCAACATAAAAATGTGTTACGTTAAACAAAAAAGCCACGGTGTAAACACCACCCACACAGATTGCACAGATACACATATACTATTAGATGCAGATATAGTTCAAGAATGGTGAGTGTGCGTGCGCACTGAGTGGGTACTGTACTCAACAACAGTATGTTCGTACCTGCCTGGCCTGCCATCAGATTTTGCAATGTAAATCTCAGCCCTATTAATGTGTAGGTCCCAAGTGGGGGTGGACCAAGCCTTGGGAAATTGTACGTGTGGGAAGAGGCGTCGAAAGAAGGACGACATGGGACGGGAGGGAGCTCAGCCCTATTGTAAGTTCGTAATGATAATAATAATGACCAAAAATATAATAAAATATCTGAAATAATATAAAATGTATAATGAAAAGGTTTGCACAGGGTAGGTATGCACTAGCTGAACTTTTCTACTCCACAATGGAGGTTGGCTGCAATGAATGCACTACTGTTTCTGTGAATATCAGGAATATTCACCCTCCGTCTGAAATATTAGATTTCTTCCCGCCGCCCCCCCCCCCCCCCCCCCATGTGTGTGTGTGTGTGTGTTAAAGCACTTGAATTAGAATGCTCCAGGCTACTGACTGCCAATTGTTTATCTGAATGTGATATTTCCAAATTGGCTGTGCCGTTTAAAACGCATTTTCGGAAAGCTTCAAATCACAACAGCCAAGTGTTAATTACCATTTAATCTACCGTTAGCATAATGTATCCATTAACAGGAATGCCATCCGTTAGCGAGGACATGTCTATCCTGTAGGCAAGCTTGTCCAGTTTGCTCCTCCAATTAAGGTCCAACTAGCAGTCGAGAAGGCCAAAATAAGTGCGCTGACCTCCCAACACAGTAGCCCGGGTTTCAACAGCAGAGGTCGACCAAGCCATGAAAATATTAATCCTGAAACCCCCAAGCCCAGTTACACTTTCTAGAGACTGACCATCTTCTATATGGACTCAAATGGCATTGATTTGTTCAAATAAGTTAGAGTTAACATCCTGATATGCCTCACATGCCACACTGGGTCTTTATGGAAAGAATCTGTCAATAAATTATGCTGAACTTTCTAACGACTTTTTTTTTTTAATGTTGGGTTACCCAAGAGCCAATGGGCTTTTGAATGTTAAATGACGTCGTTTTTGGAAGAGAAAAAAAGGGTGGAATGGGGGGGGGGGGGGGGGGGGGGGCTAAGAAGCGTACCAGTCATTTTACTTCTATTGATTATGTGATCAGCTGGTATGTTTTAGTGCTAGAACCTAATCACCTCACAAACCAACAAAAGAATCTGACGGGTGATTAACTTTACCTTTTGCTCTCTACTGAAATTTTTAGCGTTATTTACTTCAAAGTTTTAAATGACAACAATTAGTGTTTCTTTTACACCTTTTTACTTATAATTATTTATTTTATAAACAAAAAACGTATCATGTGACTCGATAATGGAAAGGCGTAGAGTAGCGGTTCTTAACATGTGGGGCGCGACCCTTCTTTTGTGGGTCGCACGACCCTTTCACATGTGTCGCCTAAGACTACAGGAAAACCCATATTTACTGAAGTTATGAAAGAAAATAATTGTGGGTCGCCTCATGTTGTATAAGGAAACTGTATTAAAGGGTCATGGCATTAGGAATGGTTGAGAGCCACTGACATAGCGAATCTAATGTCCTCCACACCTCTTCAAAGAAGATAAAAAACAAGAAGAATTACTGAGTGGGCAAAATCGTTGCCTGTTAAGGGCGTTGGTCTATTCATCTGTCGATGTTTTCAGTTGGGCACTTTACCACTAATCAGATTATGAGGGGCGACGGAATATCCGAGGGCACGCTGGTAAAGCACGCTTTGCGTCACAGGAATGAAGGGCTGCACAACACCGTGGGATCAATGGGTGACACACCAGGCAAGTCAGGCATTTCCTTCACACCCACTCCCTTAATTTACCATCCACAAAGCTCAAAACAAAACTTGCGCGTTTACTACTACTACATCTATGTTATTAAAGAAACAATACACACAAAAAGGCAACAACAAAAACAAAATTGTTTAGAAATAGCAATTAAAGTGAATAAAATACAATAAGAACAAGGGGAGTTCGGTTCGACAATCGTACCGCAGGTTTGCACATTAACTGAAGCAATCTACGTGGAAAGCCACAAGAATAATGCCAAATAAAATAGCAACAGAGCAGAAAATAAATATTGGGACATTAATTTAGTATATGTAAAAATAAATACTACGGTTGGGGGGGGGGGGGGGGGGGGTGGGCGCAGCTAAAGCTGTGAAGGTCAAAAGTAAAATGGGAAGAAACTGGACTAGCAAACAGATAAACGAAGCTGCTACTATCCGCTTTTTCTCCACCTGTAAAGTTTGAGGTAGGAGATAATGGGGTGACAACGGTCAGGAAAAGTAGGGATAAGGCAATGACTATACACCAAAGGAAGGTGGAGGATGGTTGTAGGTGCAGAAAGTAAACAAAACTTGCAGTTGTCATGAAGGATGAAAGGAATGATGTGATTTTGGTGGAAACAACTAAAGGGTATACAGGTGGTGCTGTGAAGAACTGGGTGATTACAATATGCAGGGCTACACACCAAGTGCTACTATAACGAAGTGGTGGGGGGGGGCACGAAGAAAGGGGGTCCCCTTTGACATTAGCCAGCAAGGGGAGGGGGGGGGGCGAACATTTCTCTAGTAAATTCGTTGAGTCATAGAATTCATCAGCGAAATAATAACTTTTGAGATGAACATAAATTCTGACGATACCTGGACTAGCTACAATCTCAAATCTCTTGTGAATCTCTGGCAACGGGTATGGGCTACAGAAGTCTTCAATACAGATTCGAAAAGCGAGATTCCCCGAAAAGAACAGCTTAATTAAAACACCTTTCATACACACCTTTCATCAGCTTGGACAACATACATAACGCTCTAGGAATAGCTGTGCAAATTCATATTTAAAACAAAAAAAAATTTTTATTGCTTTTCTGATCATTTATTTATGTATTCCTAGCAGGGGACACCAGTCAACTGTATCACTGGGTAAATCATTTTAAGGCAGCTGTAGAAGCCATTTTCTACAAAGCCTAAGGCCTCTATGTTAAAACTAAATTTAAACCACGCAATTATAAAAGGGATGGGTTAAAACAGAAACCAAATAATGATATTTCCAATTAGCAATCAGACCAGTAAAGAACACAATGAAAATGAGGGTCTTTAACATTTCCAATTATAATTTTAAGTATACAAAAATAGTTATTATTTCGTTAAAACCCTCATTACCTGTGTTTTATTATGATCCTCCCCCCCCCCCCCCCCCCCAATCCTTTTCCCCCTCCTGCAGTTCCCAGTGACACAATTAACCAGTCAGTAAGTGTTAAACGAATTTATAACTACGGTTCTTTCATTAACTTTGTATAAACATATCAGTCTGTCAGACCACACACAGGAAATGAAACGCACCGGGTGTTAGAACACCCACAGCTAATGAAGAGAACGGGCTAGAAAACAATGATATTGTTGAATATACGGGGTTTAGTTAAAGAATGTTATATCAAACAAGATATTAGCACACAAACAGCCAACCATTAAGCACCCGACACACAACCAGGAGGAAAGCTTGGCTCACACTAAGGGTGTTTGTTTGTTTGTTAGCTTGTTCTGTCCCACAACCAAGAAGCTTCAGTTCAGAAAAGCAACAATGACAGAACTGCTGAGGTGAGGGCAAGAAGTTGTTAAAGAACTGCGGCAGGGGTGGGATGATGCATAACATGTTATAAAAGAGCACTTCAACCAAGGAGAGATAAAATAGCTGAAAATAATAATATTAATAATTTGTTGAAAAAAAAAAAAAAAAATGGTTAAAAAAGCAACCCAGGCCATAAGTGAGAGATTTGAGCAAACGCATCGGCATGTCATACCTTTAAGTAACCATAGGTATCTATGAGTAAATTCTCGGGTTTTAAATCTCTGTACATTATATCCAAGTGGTGCAAGTATTCCAAGACCAACACTATTTGTGCAGCATAAAAACGGGAGTGCGGCTCGCTGTCAAAGAGAAGTGGAAGAGAACACATTTAGAGGTACATCATCACAAACATCCCGGCCAACAGGTAGACAGACACGTCTCAGCTGCTTCTAGTGTTGAGTGGAACAAATAGGCAATGAAATAAACCGGAACAGAAACGAAACAAAAAAGGGTCCATACCTGCCCACAGGCTGATTTCACCAGATCCATATTTCCGTGACCGATTTATAATTTAAATCTTAGCAATTAAGATGTGCGATTTTTTGCCTTTATCTCAGGCTTTCTATCACAAATGTGAAAACTATGAATTATTGCTTTAACCCCTTCTGTGCTAAGGAGAAGATTAAAAGAATGGAACACTACATATATCTTGAAGAGTTTAATTGAGCCAATTTTGTCAAATCCCCCACCCCCTCCACCCTTTCCAATCCAAGGATCGCATTCTTAAAGATTACCACCAAGTGATTAAAACAGCCACTGTTCGGGTGAGAATCCAACACTAAACTGTCGTAAAAATATGATCTTTCTGATAAGAAAAGCGCAGAGTTATGGCACTTCCATGCAATATGGCCATGAAGGGGCATAACTTGAACTCGCAGGCTGTGGGCAGGTCATGGCAAATATAAACGAATGTAATAATACGAAATAAAATAAATGCTGAAACATGATCAAATACTGTTCTAGGCCCAACGATGGGTGTTTAAGGCGAGGCGGGTAGCCACATCTTGGGCACACAGTGTCACATACACATCAGCAGGTGATAAAGTGTGTATGACAAAGAGTCAGGCGTGTGAGCACTTACTTTGCAGTACCCGTGAGGATCAATGAGCAAATTTTCTGGTTTGAGATCCCGATACACGAGATCCAAATAATGCAGGTATTCAAAACTCAAAATTATTTGGGCTGCATAGAACCGGGAGTGACTTTCGCTGTAATAATGAAGGAAAATCACTCAAATAAATATACGGATCAGTTGCCAGAACATCAACAACAGCAAGAGATACACACAAAACATTTGCAAATATCAAGAACAATACTCCGATGGAAGATCCTGAAATAAGGAGAGGACAATATAGATTAATGAACAACAACATCCGTCCACATGCTTATTCTTTAAGCATGAGCATTTTCTTAGTTTGTGTACATTAGATGCTCCACTGATGTAAAGGAAATTGTACAGCCATTTGATACAGCACTGATTTGTCGTGCACATTAAAGGATACCACCATAAGCCACTGGCTTGTCGTGACATGATACCAGTACGCAGCACTGGTATGCCGTGTTTGCTGCTATGATAATGGTATATAGCACTGGTGAGCCGTGCATATGCTATGATACTTGTATACAACACTGGTATGCCCTCTATATGCTATGATACCAGTATACAGCACTGGTTGCCGTCTATATGCTATGATACCAATATACAGCACTGGTATGTCGTCTATATGCTACGATACCGGTATACAAACACTGGTATGCTGTGCATATGCTATGATACCAGTATACAGCACTAGATGTCGTGTGTATAGTATGATGCCCGTATACAGCACTGGTGTGTCGAGTAGACGCAATGATAATGGTATTCAGCACTGGTATAGGTTTAAACCCAATGGTGCCAGCACTATTCAAATGGCTGCAAGCCATATACACATAGACAAGCCTATAGGTCCGGGCCGGTAATGACCACTGATGATGTTGCGTTGTACACTGATGGTGGTCAGCAGCTTGTTAGGCTGGTTTTGTTGAAACATGAATTGGGGTGTCAAAATCATTCTCAACCATAGCTTGGAAACTAATCAAACTTAGCTTAATAAGAAATCAAACTAAGATGTAAACGTAGGTAGGTAGACTATCACAGTTAAAGCTTTTCCTGTACATGCCCCAGGACACACACATACTCCGAGAGAGAGAGAGAGAGAGAGAGAGAGAGAGAGAGAGAGAGAGAGAGAGAGAGAGAGAGAGAGAGAGAGAGAACGAGAAAGAGGGAGACTGAGAAGAAGAGATTACAAGTAAACAAGAAGATAACAAGTAGGGAAACAGGGAAAGACGTAGAAGCCTTGTTGTTAGATTTTGTAATGCAGAACTGTTTGCTCAAAGTGATACTTTGTATCAGCCCATACTATACTTTAGACTTAATCATCAAACTGCAGGCATCTCGGTTAATTTCTGATAACCTATGGTATCTGTGGCTTAATGGATGTAAACGAAGTTTTATACTTCCGATATAGTGGGGTCCAATTCAGCAGCTGGCGGCTGACCAGCATATCGCTTCAAACTTTCGACAACGGTATAAGCATCGACCGTTAAAAAGCAGTGGCAAACTACTAAAAGTAAAACCGCCTAATAAACCCACAAAAGTTCTGGAGTTTGTTTGCGACGTCCTATATCAATCAACCAAGAGCTGGCATGACTGCACTCAAGACGTTTCCACGCGTCCTCCATACCTTTCCTCGGTCATCTATACAGGCCCCATTCATATATGTTTATCAAATGCAACAATATTTTCATCTGCCATTGTCCACACAGTCGGACATCGGTTTTCGCATCCCAGCGTACCCGTTGTATGACTCTGACAATGCGTGTATCATTACCAACAGAAACGGGACATATCGGCCTGACTTCATCTTCAATCTCCATCCCAATCTTTGAATCGTGTATGCCACCTCACGCGCGAGATCCTCATCAACTTATCTCATCAACTCGACCGTCTCAAGAGGACTTTTTTGAGTTAGAAACAGAATTATGTTCACCCTCGGCTCCATGCTGCATACGTAACAACGCAGCTTTCACTAGCTAAACACAATGATGGGTTATATGTCGTCTGCTGACTGGGGGTTGTTAAAATTGTACCAGATCATAGATAAACAGTGCCTGCGTGGATGACATGCTTTGCCATCTTCACAGAGGCGTTTTTGTTTTGGTCGTAGAAAAAAACAAATCATAGTCTCATTATTTACCAGTGACTGTGTACAATTACTGCGTATGGCATAACGTTACTGTTTTATTGTGGGATGACCCGTTGCCGTAAAGTCAGAACAGCGACCGATGACTAGGGTTGAAAATATTAAACAACCCAAGTAAACACACGCCTTCTCTCCTTCCTACGCTCACATTAAAAGGGCATAAAATAAGCAGTGCAGCTGCACTGAGTGACTTCGGGACTGACGCAACGACAAGTATACAAACTGCTACGTAGGGTCTTAAGATTCCATCAAATGTCTCGACTTTTCTGATTAAAACCCATGTTTCCGACGTATACACTGAACAAGATCTACAAAGCCCTGCATTTTCTACACGCCGCAACTGACCACTTTTAACTAGTAAATTTTTTATCTCCCAAAACAAAAATGTATATATCTTAACTGATCTTTCTCGCTGTAACTATCAAATTAGAGGTCCAGACGGGGATGCTGCTCATGCGGTAGAAGCCGGTGATATAAACTATTATAATGCAATCACTATACGGGTCCTCCGTGTAGGTTACGGTGATCACGTGGAGACGGGCTGTGGAGAGAACAGACCAAATGCCTCTTAATAAGTATGAAGTAAAACAATACTAATCAAGGGTTCGCTGAGATAAGAAATTTTGGGCGAAAAGGAGATGGATATCGCAGCTTGTTTATAAACCACTATCTGTCAATCACTTTAAAGAGTGAATAACGACAAAAAGAAGAGAAGAAGAAGAAGAAGAAGAAGAAGAAGAAGAAGAAGAAAACTAGATAGTTAATGTCTTCTCTCCAAACACAATGACATTCCACATCTGTCTACACCAGTCACTGATAAAGGTGGTATCTCTCGAGCGCTAAAATATTAATTAGTTCCTTTCTCATTTAAGCAAGAATATGACATCACTTGTCGAGAATTGTTTCTCCTCCACCGCGTCTCTCTATCTATACACACACCCACATCTGTGTCCATATCAGGACAACTTCTAACTAAAAACGCATTTTCCCTGCAGACAACTATTTGCCCATCAACCTTGACAGCTCCTGTGTGCCGGTGCGCGCGCGCGCATACGCATGTATTTCCGGATCACCCCCCTCCATATCGATCGCTAACAGGATTAAGTTGGCTCAACATATTTCTAGGCAGTCTGAGGCAATCTCGAAGTTTATCAAACTGTTTAACGTTATATGCACCAGCAGAGTTTCTGCACACTTTATCACGGTAGAAATGATGTGAGATTTACAGGCCAAGGCATGACAAGTGAACGCACACAAGCTATAAATATCAACAAAGACAATGGAAGCTAGAGAAATTACTGACCGATTACAGGCGAGCAAGAGATGGCGAGGGGAAGCACAGGAGAAAGTGCGAGAGACGCACCCAGGCAGGGGAATTGGGAAGGGGAAAGGCGGGGGGAGCTTGCAGCGGTGGGTGTCGATCAATTTAAAAAAAACTGATTTTACTTGTACTTGTAATAATACGTTGTCGGCGTCTGTGGCTTAGGCGTTGCGAGCGCGCTTCGTAATGCCGGGGTGCCGGTTTCGATCCCTGCTGCGGACGATTTGTCTTGCGCAGGTTTCGACAGTGGCACCGAGAGCTGGCCTTTCAGGAAAGCAATGACAAACTACTGAACGTAAAATTTGCCTAGAAAAACCACTACAGCCAATAAATGCTGGGGTTGTTTCTGCAACGTCCTGTAAAGGATACGCAACTAACTAAATAATCCGTTATATTAACTTTCTTATTTCCAAATTTAATTATAAATAAAATTTGTTCAAACTATTTATAGTTAAAAAAGTACAGGAAGTTTTAGTTTTCATGAGTAGTTTGTACATCCTATGTGAACATTTAATGCAATATGACAACACCTGCATTTAATTAATTACATATCAGGAACACATTCCTCGTCTTTTTGATTAAATTTTTTGGTTAAATTTGAGGTTGGATAGGGAGTGGAAAGGGTGACTTTGCCGCCTACTCAAGAAGCGTGAAGGTCTTGTCATATACTTAAATGGGGAGGGGGAAGTGTTAAGAGTGTATCCGTTTTACAGATCAGACTCATTCGTGTGCAGACTGCTGGTTCCTTGCCTCTCAGGCAGATGAACTCCGATATCGAAGGAAGCTCCCAATTAGTCGACTCTCACGACATGCTTTTGGGTAGGCAGTGGGTCTATTCTTGTTTTCCCTACAATAGGGCCCCAGAACCCACACGGGGAACTCAAGTTCAGTAACAAGACCAAAGTCCAGAATTTGTTGAACCACCGTGACTTATTGCTGGAAATTAAAGCCGGTGAACGCGAAGAAGAAGAAGAAGAAGAAGAAGAAGAAGAAGAAGAAGAAGAAGAAGAAGAAGAAGAAGAAGAAGAAGAAGAAGAAGAAGAAGAAGAAGAAGAAGAAGAAGAAGAAGAAGAAGAAGAAGAAGAAAAAGAAGAAGAAGAAGAAGAAGAAGAAGAAGAAGAAGAAGAAGAAGAAGAAGAAGAAGCAGAAGAAGAAGCAGCAGAAGAAGAAGAAGAAGAAGAAGAAGAAGAAGAAGAAGAAGAAGAAGAAGAAGAAGAAGAAGAAGAAGAAGAAGAAGAAGAAGAAGAAGAAGAAGAAGAAGAAGAAGAAACCAAAAAGACAGGAGGTATGCCTGTCAATGTTCTTCCCTCCGGACTGACACCTGTGATTTTTTACCCCCCCCCCCCCCCTCCTTTTTAAAAATACCAAGTGCAAACCCCCAGATACCCCGTTCAACTTCTAAGGAAGTCACGGCTATACACCGGTGCACACTGCAGTCTCATGTGGGTATGGTATGATGTCATTCGTACCAGAGAAAGGTCTGACAGGCGATACAAGGTACTGACAGGACTAGAAAAACTACTGACAGAGCCAGAAAAACTACTGACAGGGCCAGAAAAAGGTACTGACAGAGCTGTAAAAAAAAAAGGTCTCACATGACAACGCGCTGAATAACTGACCGCCTCAGACACTAAACATGTACTGC